ATGGCGTTTGAAAAAGGTGGATTATCTTCACCATGTCAAGCTTATTACTAACTTAGTATTATACCTTGACTGCAATAGCTATCTTTCTTGTGTGATGGAATGCAGCGATTTGATTGTATTGTGCACCAGCGAATATAGCCAGACAGACTGTAAACACTATTGTTTACAGATTTTTAAACGAGAGTCCAATTGGCTGTATTCGAATCGCTGCGTTGACAACCTTCCGTGAAACAAGAAAATCAAGGTATAAGACGAATATACGAATAACTTGACACAGGATTAGGTTTCGCCTGAGTAGAAGCAATAAATAAACCCAAACTATTTAAGATATTTTTTGAATATCTAACTTTTTCGGTGTCCTACACATTGCAACATGGTGAGGTAGCCTTGAAATTATTTGTTAGAAAAAAGTCTTGAACAAACAGATGTTGAATGCAGCGATCCGACACTATCAGAATTTTCATGCTCTACCACAGAACATAGACAATTCCAGATGCACGGTAATACGATCTGAAGTGCAAGGTCGTTCATTAAACTTATTTACGTTAATAAGGATCTGTGGTTAGTTAAAGAAGCTATTCTGAAAGTTTTGCATTTTGGGATGAATACGCAAACTTTTAGTAATTTTATACAAAGTTAGGTATTTTGAAATGGCCCAATCTTTCCAACAAACAGTTAAATTATGTTAACGGCGTAAGTATATCGAATATTTTAGGGGATTGGTTTGGTCTGCTTAGTTAGCTCGATAAAAGGACAAAATTCCAATCAGCAAGGTTGTGGGCAATGGTACTTTAACTAACATGTGTATATTAACTTACGAGTGCATGTTGTTTATAGGTGAACGAACTTGCCGTATATTCCAGATGTCGTTTATTATATATTTATGATATCTGACCATCTGGACTGATCTGAAACCGGACGTTACATACATATCATTGAAGTTTTGAGACCCCTCTCTCGTGGCTCGTGGTCACATTGCTAAGTTGCCAAGTGATATTATTTTAATGGTTGGTAAAGGCTATTCAATATGCGAAAATAAGTGTTTTTTGGGGTAAATTGCCTATAATTAAGTGTTGTTTAAATGCGTATAAAGTTCAAAGGAGTACAGTGTTTATATTCTACACCCTGAGGAAAACTGGCCAAAATGGACAGGAATAACACAAAACTTTCAAAGTAAGTTGTCTTATAGAAAAGTTTAGAAAGTGTGGTGTGAACGTTATCATTCATTTGGAACATCGAATCAAACTCGAAGTCAAAAAAAGAATATGATATATAAACGGGTTGACCATGTACATCAAACAAAGTATAGGTTTTTCAGAAAATAAAATCATATGATACAACCGTTTATCAGAAATTCAAAATCAACCCCCCCCCCCCCCCCCCTACCTCCCACCTGAAAAAAAAAAATCTGATTACAAAAACCTAATGGGTGAAAGATAACATTGTCTAAAAAATATTTTTCCTTCCACGCTAATCTTTAGAATAAACAAAATATATCTATCAAAGGTGGACAATTCAGGCAAATTTCTCCTCAAAGTCGCCTAATCAGCGACTGATTCGATTTCTATCTCTATAATTTGTAAGCCATTTGAAGTAATAAATCTGTAAGACGTCAAAAGAATAGATTTCGGATAACTATCAATAAAGTTTTTCTGGATAAATGAAGAAGATGGATGTGACAGTATGACGAAGTCTTAAAGGGATTGTTAGATTACAGAATTGAAAGTACAAAATACTAAGATGTTGTTCAAATCTATATTTACCATACTATCTCCATCAACAACTTTTATAATAAACAACATTCACGTGCAGTTATTACTGATGACGTTATAATATCAGCAAGAATTATATGTGGTATTCAAATCTATGTAGGTGGACATTGTAATGTATATGTCTTCATAAAGACCACACTTTCAAGCTGATATTTTTTCGTTCACACTGACCATCGATGTTATTTAAAACATCAAAAGTTATTTCACAATTTAAATGTAGGTGTCATAGAGCTAATTTGAAGATCGTAGAGCTTTTTAAAGGATTAAAGTGCTAATTTATTTCTCAATTTCAATGTGAGTGCTACTCTGAGAATCATAGAGCTAATTTAAGGATCATATAGAGCTAATTTATGGATCATAGAGCTAACTTGGAGAATATAGAGCTAGTTTGAGGTTTAAAGAGCTAATTTAAGGTTCTTAGGGGTAATTTAAGGAGCATAGAACTAATTTGAGGGTCATAGAGCTAATTTGGGGTCATTGGGCTAATTTTGGGTCATAGAGCTCATTTTGGGGTCATAGAGCTCATTTTGGGGTCGTGGAGCTAATTTGAGGATCATAGAGCTAATTTGAGGATCATTGAGTTAATTTAAGGATCGCAATAGAAAATTTGGATTAGAATACTTTTTTGTTGAGAGCCCATCCATATACATCAGTGTTGCTTACAATTGATCTGTTTTCAATAATTACCTGTCTTTCCAACCTTTGAAATAATTTGTTCGGTTTTATCATTTTAATGCGAAACATCAGGCTTAAGCATTTTTTACATCTAAATTAATTACTCATAAAAACTAAGTTCACTAATGGAATTTTGCTAAAAGTTCGGAATTAAATTTTATATTAATTGGCTCAACGGAAGGAATGATTATGAATGGTAATGCAATTTTATGGGTTTGAAATTACATTAGAAACTTGCCATGTCATCGGGATATTATTGATTTTCGATTGGGTCCTTTTGGGTGGGTCATTTTTGGGGGGTTTCATATGTAAACAACCATTGATATGAATGAAATAAGTCTGACTTTTCATTGATACGTATCTTGAATCATGAGTTAAGACACAAATACATGTAGGTACATAAGGACTTTATCAGATCTGCCTGAAAAGGGTACGTAATTAATAATGAAACCAAAAATACTTTAATTTTGCACTATTTTTTTCCGATCGTTGCCTATGATCATAAACAGAAGACAAGAAACAGACAACGACGATCCATAATGTTATCGATTGCTTCAAGTTGAATACACACCCAAGATTTGAAATATATATGTTTGACCTATTTAAACTCATTCAATAATTTAATCCAGTTTAATCCTTTTACTTACTCCCCCAGGATATATATCAGTCATTCCATTATTTAACAAATCCGATTAACTACTCCTAATAAGATTTTATTATTTTGTCAAGAGCATCCACAGACTGTCTCCGACTATTTATTTAAAAAGATGAAATCCACTTTTAATTTTCTAAAGAAGAATGGAAATTAAAAGCGGAGTAAAAGTGGGGGAGTAAAAGCTCCATTAAGATCTACAGTGGACAGATCATAGTTCCTCGTTGAACGTCTCGCTAGGGACGCGAGTTGACATAGTGTGACATAAGCTTACACTTTACCTTGCATAATTACGGATCACACTTATCTCCGGAATTCAAACTTTCATGTCGACTGCCCACACAGTTTTAGCACCTACGACCTTATATTAGAGAAACAAATTCAAATCCACCTCTTTTCATTTTATTCGAGATAAGGGAACGAACAACTTTCATTTCTTTAACTACATTCATTGAATCAAGAAACAAAAACCTTGTTTCTATCATTAAGCAATCAAATTCAGATAATGTATCTCGTTAAGGTTTCTTTCGTAATGTAATTGCATTTTTTTTTATCTTCTTACGTGTTTGGTTTTAGATAGCAGTTAGCATGGATCTCCGTGGGAACACGACAACGGATGGGACCAACAAAATGGTATATTGTTCTCTCGTTTTAGACTTTTACGCAATGTCTGTAACATGGCTTCGGGTTCATTTCCGTAAAGTAATTAGTTAAATCAAGACATTACTTCAGGACCTTTTTCTTTGTTTGTTTGATGGTTCTTAAATATTAAGGAAATGAAAATGAAATGAATGGTGTATTACATCCTACGTTTCTTCTAAAATGGGCTAATGATGACGGGCAACAGCATTCAGTGTGCAGTGAGGGAAATGGTAGCAGGACAGTGGCATTAGTCTTCTTTTTAGATTTCTAACAACATCCGAACGGCAATACGCTTTTGCATATTAAGGAAGGTCCATGACCGTACACACGGTCAATGTCACGTGAAATAATACAGCAGAATATGTATTGAAAAATGCATTTAACATGTTTTGCTCACCAGGAAAACTGCAATGACTTTTTCGCAGTTTTTTTCTGCAAATTATGTACTAAAATGACGAACATGTTATGATGCGTAGGACTGGAAATAACTTAATTTAATTAGCAACGCCCGAAGAACCGTTACTTAGTTAAAAGGACACGAGTTTATCAGTTTTCTTTCAAATTGCGAGAATCATTTCATTAGATATGATCTCCTTAAGACTGTACTTTTGATATCTTAATGTTTATTCACAATTTTCTATATCCTCGGAGGGCATTATCATAGCGGGTATGTATTATATTTCTTTGATTGAACCAAGCGCTTTTTTGTCATCCAAAGGCTAGGATCAACGGGTGGGCAACAGAAACTGTGGACTTTCTAGAAACGCATGGATAACGTGTAATTTTATTCGAAATAAATGGTAAAGGGACGAATTTTAACGTTAATCTTACAACATCTTAAAGGGTTGCGTTCAACAACGATCTCAGTAATATTACTGATACATATTATTGTAGGAAATATTCGTATTCTTTGTGCTGTTATCACAACAAAAATAACTTTAAGTTTTCAGTTCTGATATTAAGTTCTTGTTTTCTTTTTTTAATGTTTTTTCTAGCTGTCAACATACACAGACTTTTTAAAATTTGTCTTGTAAAACGATACACGACAATTCACGTCTGATATTAAGCTTTTGGTTTTCTTTATTCATTGGTTTTTTTTAGCTGTAAACAAACACAGACTTTTTAAAAATGTGAATTGTTAAGCGATACACGATAGTTTCGGTGATCTTACCACTGTTTTAACCTTTGATACTCATCAACCTTCGCTTTCTCTTTTCAGGTGCCTTTGATTCGCTGTACAACCAACGAAGGATAGTGCCATGGAAGTGACTTGTAAATGTCCACTCGTATTACTGGGTGTATTATTTTTGAACTTTGGAACAGTGTTAACACATCTAGAATGGACATGTACATTAGAAACTAAACGTGAATCTCCCCGCGGTGTTTGTGGTCAAAGATTACCAGAAGTTTTATCCATGGTGTGTAAACGATATGGAGGTTATCGAGATACTTGGTTCAGAAAAAGAAATGGCGAAGGTAACTTTTTATAATTTTAAGATCTGCCTCATACTCAGTTCTGTCTTCTAATTTATGACATTCATGAATAAAATGAAATAAATGCAGTTTTAGGCCCTACTTTCTGCAACATGTGGGCTAATAAAAACGGACAGCGCCATGCAGAGTGCAATGAAGGAAATTTTGCCAGGATATTGGCATTAGCCTGCTCTTTTTCAATTTCCAATTATCAGCCTGTAGCACATTCAGAGAGAGAAGGCCTTCCTCCTGTATCATATGTTCTGAAAGATGCTCAGTCGTTTCATCCTTCGCCAGATGAAGCTTTTATTGACGTAAGTCTTTCACAGGACAGTGAAGACAACACTTTATTTTACAAATATCAAACCATAACAATCTGAAATTCAAGTGTCAGTCTCTTCTCACAAAATTGGGGTGGAAAACGTTTCAATCTTTCAAAAACTGAAGACGAGCAAAATTTAACCAAATATATATTTTTTTTTCAGGTACAAATAGCAGATTGGGAAATATTATTTTAGGAAAACGAGATGCATTTTCATATCTTGGAAAACGTGGTCAGTCGTATGGTGAACAAGGAATCACTTGTGAATGCTGTTATCATTCGTGTAGCTTCCGAGAGCTAAGACAATATTGTCGAAATTCCCAACAGCGTATATCTATCAAAAAATAAGCCAACCAATGGGAACCAAGAACTTTAAAAAGCATCAACATCGGAGTAAAGCGCCATATAAAAAAGTCATTTAAATCATCATTACGATAAGTTTTATCATAGTGACAATTCGCTGCCATTTTGTAAATTATAATTTTCGTACAATATACTTTGTCGTTGCTGAAACTATGTTCCATGGAATTGCTGATTGGGAAACCTTGTGAACTAACCCAAACTGTTATCGTGTTACGTAATGAATTTTTCTGTTATGTGTCGCTTATCTTAACTTTAAAGCGTGTTTATGTTCAAAACATTCTCCGTGTTCTTAAACTGTGACGCAAATACCATTTCACGAATGCATATGACAAGTTTCGACTTGGTGAATGTTCCATGATAATGACTTGACAAACGCTAAAGGTTGGAACCGGGAGACGATAATTTTTGTGATGACAGATGCAGTCAGTGGTAATGTGTGGTATTGACATCAAGAGTGTTGCCCAGCCTTCTCTGAAACCAGTAAAAGTCTTAATTGAGCATCCCAAAGCTGTTAAAAGGTTTTGGTCAAGAAACCAGAAATAAAAAAAAAGGAAACTTACATGTCAATCGTTGTTTGGCAACATTCAGAATCTCATTTTCCCACTTCATGGACTATAAGTCTGAAAAACAGTAGACATATATAAATTATAAGATACAATCAGACTGAAATGCAGTTCTATATGTATTGATAAGCTTAGCATATTTTGCAGCTGAAAAATTGTATGCTCATTAAAAACATTTGGTTTCTTAGCCGACAGTACCAATTTCAGTACCCGTATAAGATATCTGGAAAAATTTTTTCGAACGAAATTCAAAACAGATCCCAGAAACCCTTGAAATTCACGTGCCATACTGTTGGCGATAATAGTCTGACAATTGAGCCCATACTCGTTTCTGCTGGTAGAATTTTATCTAATTGCAGATGAATAAAACATTCTGATTTTCATTCTGAAACATGACATGGATAGCTTAAAACTGTGCTCTATCAACTGGAAAAGCAAAACTTTCGCCCATTCAACCCAAAATTACCGTTCACCATTTACTACAGAAAAGAGTAAGAAAGATGTGATTCTGTAATCTATCAAAATTGTATTACATGGTCAAATTAGGCTTACCACTGTCTGTAATAAAGTCATGTGATTGTAATAAAATGTTATGAAACGTTTGTAATTGATTGTAAATGTGAAACAAAGATATTTTTAGTTTGAATTAAAGTAATCATCTTTCATTAAATATACATTAAGGTAGCTGCCTGTTGGTCTGGAGTTGGATTGCGTATCAACTTGTTCTTGATCGAACAGAAGCAGAAGTTGATCTGGTGTGATCTGGTGTAGATTTCACAAACAGCTTAAGTCGGCGAAATCTGTTAAAACACACAAAGTTTGCTGCAACCCTCCGTCTATGCAGTATGCAACACCACAACAATAGCACAACGTATAAGATTCCTTAACGTTCACAGGGCCTTGATAAACTATATATCCCATTCGAACAGCTAGAGCCTGTTTCCATGTCAGCTCTTTTGACCTTCACTGCAGACAGGGGGACACCAGGCAAAAAAATCCAAAAATACTATCTCGATCATTTAAAGGACCCAAACCTTGACCCCAGGTCAAGCGAACATTCGTCCTATTCACATTAATTATATATTCAATATAACAACATATCAATTAAAAGATATTTGTCAGAAAACATTATTCAATGAAAATAACACCAGAAAATTATTCTATAAAAATCTGAGGGTGTATTTCCCCAAAAGGTCATTTTTATAGTCTCTGATTAAGGATATTTTTAAAACATGAGGTTTACTCATGATATCTGCATGTGACAATGTTACTTGACAATGTCTTGGCAACAAGAACAGATGATGATAATTGCCAATATTGTACATTAACTACAACCATATATTATAAAGGGTAGTAACCGTACGTGGAGTCTCTTTTAAAGTGATAGATTCGCCATTTTCGGGGTTGATTTGGGTAATAAAATTAATAGTAATTAAAATGTATAATTTCTTCAAAAATATCTATAGCTAGGAATTTCATTTTCTTTTTCTATATATGGCAAAGTCTCAAGAAAAGGCGAGTCGTCAATTGATTTTCAAATGCGGATACACATAGATTTGAAGGCTCATATTCGAAGATGAACTATGAACACTTTTTACTGATTAGCTTAGCTAAATAACTCACGTTTCTAAAACTAAGGTACGAACGGTCAAACAGTTGGCGAATCTATCCCTTTAAAATATGATGGCACTATTGCCAGCCATCGATTTGTTTTGACTCCCTTGGTCCATCGGCACAGGTTTGCGAAACTAATGAGTCGAAAAATAATTGGGTCATTTGAATGGAGACCCCGTTTTTTCGATTAGTCCAAGAGCTCAATTTCAACATACTTAAAGGTTAACTCAATTGAAAGGGTCCATCGAGAATACTTTTTCAGAATTTCGCCCGCCAAACCATCCATGAGAAGCAATATTCAGATACTAAGCTGCCTTCTCCTTGGAGGTAAAAAGTCCCACCTATACATTTCGTCTTAATTACCTCAAAATTATTGTACCACCGTAACACGGATAAGTAGGACATCAAACGGGGTTATGTTGCAATTCATCTGATACAAATATCTGTAATTGTATTTCACAACATTCATTACATAGTTCACTAAGTTTGTAGGATTCGATTTTCTTAATTCAAAAATTGATTTATCTCAAGATTTTACTGGATTTAATTGGAACATGTGTTAATCTTGAGGATTCTAGTAGAAAGGCGAGTTATAGCTTCTTTTTCCGCTGGTATTTACTACGAGAAACGACATATACCATCCAAAGCGCTATTTACAAACCATAGATCAAAAGCCTAATATCAATGAAGCACGTATAATTCAATAAGAAAATGGATACCACAGGTTTGCAATAAAAACAGTATGCGGTCTCTGCCGAGCGGGATGCAAAAACCGAGATGATCGCAAGTCTGCAATATCCGAAAGACGCATCATGGGGAAGAAATTTGATCACACATTCAATGTGATTCGGGGTTTGTAATAGCTGAACATTGTGAAGATGGGATCACACCTGCCGCTTCAATTAACACTGGAGTGACCAGGTGTGGTGCATGAAGTACCAATCGAAATAACCAGGTAGATTAAGAAGTCTGTAATAAACAACAATCGTGATGAAAGATAATGCTGATTGTGTGTTATCTATATATAATTAAATGATTATAAGAGAAAGGAGATATATCATTATAGGATCAGCTAATGACATGACATGGGATGATCAGTTCAAAAAATTCGTTTAACTACGTCAATACCAACTCCCTACTCGGCTAATGAAGACGGGAAATGTAACGTGAAAACAACTTTGCAGGCCATTGGTCTTTTTTTTCAATTTTCAGTTCCTGAAAATGATTTTTTTCCTGCTTATAATATTAGATACGTTCCGGTTTATTGTCGAATGAAAGCGGAGTTGCTGAAAGGTTTCTTTGATTCTGTTTCAACGTAGGACATTCAGTGACAAAACTACAATAGGGTCTGGTTGAACCAAGTCTACAGGACCCATCCCTAAAATTACAATCAAACTAAGCAATCAGAGTGAAATAGAATTAACTACTAACCGAAAATCTTTAAATCTTCCATTAGCAGGCATTAAATTGACTTACAGACGGGTCTCAGAATGAAGGAGAGCATAATATGTTAAAAACCCGTCATTGGGGAGGAGCCCGACCCACTTTAGTCTGAGGTCCCCTACTCAGTTGAGCCACTGCGGACATTACTGTTAGAAAGGAGCTGGATAAAGACACAATTTCATAAATTCGTACGTCCTTCTGCTTTTCAGTGGAGTAAGTAGACATTTGACTGCGACACTACCGACTACGTTTCAAATTTCCAGTAACCCGGGGCGATATGAATCTTGTTAATTATTTTTTTTCGCCAGTGTTAAGCTCTTCATCGAACCAAAGTTGCCATAACGACATGTATTAGATTATCAATAGGTAAAAGAACTTTAATAGATTCTTAACAATAAGGTGTGAAAAAACGACAAATCCTGGAAAATAAATGCGCATTAGTTATTGGGAGGTGGATGTCCGTCGTTATCCTAGGATGACCCTATCAATCAGGGTGCAAATCTTTTTTTACGATGAAGTTGGAGTAACTTTCAGCAACCCCCTTGCGAAACTTTCATAGTCAACCTATTTAGAAGGGGCTCATTTGTACGACTCCGCAGTTGAAGATCTTCAATTACTATCATGTTATGATCTTGCTTTTTTGGCACCTTGGATGTTTACACGGAGAAACCGAGAAACATTGGTAGGACTATAATATGTCAACCAGAAAAGGGCAGAACAATGGCCATCGAAGAGAGCATCATCATCCGATCTTGAATAAACCACGAACAACTTAAAAGAATACTACCTCTTAGAATGGACATAAAATGGACTTACCATCTATCATATATATATCAATTAAATTAAGTAATTATTGAAACACGCTTCTAAGCATGTTTCAAAATTACTTAGTTTAATGCATTTATTGGATTGTAGTAGGATTGTGTAGTATAGTTTTGCCATCAGGTAAGTCCACTAATGAACAAAGACTCATTCTGGCCATGTTTAAAAATTTCTTTTTTCTTTTGGTTATCTTTAAAGGTAGTATGCCTTTAAGCACCACATAAATTCGGTTAAACAATATATTATCACACACGGCACCTGCCACATCAATTCTGGTACGGATGTTCTGCCATTCCGTTCTGATATAATTGTCTCTAATATCCTTTTATATTTTAATCATAAAAAAATACAGCAATTATGACAGACGGTCATCAAAACATTCACTTCCGATTTTCTGCCTCAAAGGAAATAGACAAGTTTCAAGGAAAACGCGAGGGAGGAAAACACTATCGTATCAGTTTGCTTAAGACAACTGTTAAAACAAACTGTAATTGCTCTCTTCAGGGCTGAAGTTACTAAAGCTCAAATTCCATCGACCATTCC